GCCTCTGCCACCCGTCAAGGGCCGTGGACCACGCATAATTGTCCGGCAACCCCATTTCACCGCCTGGTAGCACCTCCTATTGCAAGTACTGTTGCAGTGCTTGCTGCTGCTCCGGCGTAAGACGTGTGTTGACAAAGTTGACAATCGCGCCGTTGTGACGCTGGTTCGCGGAGCTGATGTACGCGCTGACCCAAGGAGCCACCGCGGTGACCTCTGGGTAATCGTCACGCGCAATCGGCCGGCAAGTGTTGAGAGCAGTGTAGGACAGGCCAAAGCCAATATCGTCAACGTCAGCTTCGTTAATGAGTTCATCGCCCAGGCCGGCCGACACCACTGGAGGGTTGACCAAAAGAGCAAGAAGGATCTTGCACGTGTTGGCCCAGCCCTTGGCGAACTTCTGTGCAAAGGCCTGCGACTCGCAGAGAGTCTTGGTGAGACTGACTACTGCGAGCTTACGGTCGACAGGTCGTGCAAGCTTTTCCGTCTCAGCCAAGACAAACGGAGGGTAGACCTTGGCGAAGATGCCCTCCTGAATCTTCTCAGCGTGCTTCATGAAGTAATCAGCACCGAAGCCAGCCTCAACTCGGGACGCCACGAGGTGGAAAAATCGAGCGAAGCGAAGCTTGAGCGAATCCGGCGGGCTGCCCTGCAGCTTGGCGAACAGCAGGTTCAGGATGGTACCAAAGTACTGATCAGTAACCGCACTGAGTCTAGTTAGTAGGGAACTTTCAAAAGGTCTGTTGGCACGGAATTGACATACGGCTCGAATGACTTGACGACGGCCTCCAAGATGTCAAAGGCGTACAACTGGTACTTCTTGACGGCGAGGAGACGCTGGAAGATGCCGAGGATTTGCTCCAACTTGTTCTCAGAGACAATGAAAGCGGAAGTTGCCGGGATGATGGACGACAAAAGTCTGGTGCAAGCTGGGACGTTGCCCTTGGTGTCCCACAGAGCCGGCTCGAGCAACGGGGACAGGAAAGCCTTGTAGTTGTCGGAGACTGCATCGGGAGGGCTTGACTCCAAGAGCTGTGCCAGAACCTGGAAAATGTATTGCAGGAACTCTGCATCATCTTTAGCCAATCATTCAAAGTCATTTTCGTGTCACTAATTGACGTACCGGTAACGTCCTCGACCAGGATCTGGTTAAACGGCTCCCAAAGCTTCTGGTTAAAGAGCGCGGCGTGCGTGGACGAGGTGTATCTGACAAGAGCGCCGAGGGCCTCGAAGTGGTAGTAGTAGAAGCGCGGGTTGCTAGGGTTCTGCTTGATCATGTTTGTGATGGCAACCAAGTGTGTCAGAACAGCCTCAACCAGCGGCGCGGCGCCGTCCTTCAGCACAATGAGAATTCTCATGACACATCTCATCAAGAATTCGTTCTCCTGCAGCTTGGCAGGGGTCTTCTCCTTCTCAATCAGCTTGAACAGATGCTCAAGCAAGTCCTTGGCGAACGGCTGGATGTCCTCGCGGGGGAACATGACCTTGCCCGAGTCGTCCGACAAGAACATCAGACGCTCGACAGCAATCGCAGCATATGAGTAGACCACGTAGTTGTCCGACGCTAGGTTCTGAATGAGGGGAGGGAACGCGAGCTTCCATTGCTCTTTTGTCAGTTGGCTGCGGAATGTGTGCAGGTACTTGATAGCGTCGACCTTGGAGATGGGCTCAACACCTCCGCTGGCCATCAAATCCGCAGCAATGTGCTGTTCGAAAAAGTCCACAACATTGACCAACGAGTTGACCGTCTTGACACCTTGAGCGGCGGTAACGGAACCCTTGGCCGCGATGGAGATGAAGAGGTACACCGCCGTGTCCTTGGCCTTCCAGTCGGATTTACCCTGCTCCAGGTAGTGGTTGATGTACTTGTAAACGACACCAGTGACGAGTTGCTCGTACTTCTCCTGGAGCCTTCTCAAGAAATCGGTCGCCGACCGGCGTCTCGAGTCGGTGTCTGAGCCCTCCAGATCCCTGCGGATGTACTCGATAGGCTCATCCTCGAACAGCTCCAAATCAGACTCGCGCAGGGCAACGTTGGGCAGGATGACCTTCTCGACCACCTGGCCCAAAACGTTCTCGTCCGCAAAGACACCCGAGTGTTGCGAAGTGCCGGCAACAGCGGTCAGGAAGTGCAAAGCCTTGCTGACCAACAGGTCGTACTTGGTCTCGGATCCTGTGCTAGAAAGAAGGTTCCAGGCATTGGTGATGAAGGGCTCCGTGTATTTTCCAAAGTCCTCGTCGTACTTGAGCGTGTAGAGCTCCAGAGCCTCGCAGATATCGGCCTTGACGGTATCGATGACGCTAACTTCGGTATCGTCGTCGGTCTCCAGGATCGGGTTCGTGTATGTGAGGTACTTGTGCAGTAGTTCTGAGATGGAGGCCAGGTGCTCCTCGAAAATGGGGGGCATGTCGTGGGACGAAAGGTCGTAAAAGATCTTGATCATGAGGCTCAGGGACTCGAACCAGCTCTTGAGGGCATCCTTGTTCTGGGCGTTCTTTGTGATTTGCTCATCAGTCTGGACAAGCAGTTGCACAAAGGGTTGCGCGAATGTGCTAATGACGTGGTTGATCTCAGTGTATAGCTCGTCGGTTCTGAAGAGAGGACGCCAGCGGACGAAAATGGAATGGGCGACTTCGAGGACACCGATGTTGACCTTGGGATCGACGGGGGAAAATCTTTCGACAAGCTCCTGGGTCAGTGTTTGCCAGCGCTCCCAGAAATCCGAATCGGCAATGATGCTGATAGCATCACCGAGCTGGGTCTGGATGGTTGGTGGGCAAGAAATCATCAGCCCGATGAGCTGAGACTTGATAGTGTTCACCTCATCGGCGGGGAGCTTGTAGTTGCCATCGGCATCGACCCAGTTGGAGCGGATGAAGTTCTTGAAGGCCAAGGCGGCGGCTAGACGGGTCTTGAGAGGAAGAGAATCTGAAGCGACAATGTTGAGGAGGTTGAGGGAGTATTGCGGCTTGGCTGCCTCGGCCTTGAGGGCTTGTTCGGCTGATTTTCACGTTTGTTTATTAGCATACAAACAAGGTTGGCGGGGTACGAGGCAACGGAAAGAGCAACAGCAACGGGATGGCAGTGGTGGTACCTTTCCTGTGAGTGCTGGGATCTAAAGTAGCATCCAGCAGCTGGGCAATGGTGCCCATTTGGGAGGCCATCTTGACAGAGTTCGCAGCGTCGGGGGGAATGTGTGGTTGAGGAGTGGCGGTGGAAGTTTGTTGTAGTGATGGCTTCTTTTTCCTGCGCTGAACTTTTTGGGATGGGGGGAGTGTTGCTGTGGGGGACGAGGCTGCCTGGTACCGTACCGTAACTGACCTTATGGAAAAGAGATGGAAGGTGCTGTGGGGCGCTTTCCACCATTGGTTGTTGGCAATGACAGACACTGACAAGCGCCAGCCAAAGGCGACCGGGAGCTTCGTCGGAAAAACTGCAGGGAGAGGTACCTACGGATACACTACCCACCTACAGGCTTCCCGTACGTATACTGCGTAGGTAGGCAAACACCTAGGCACCTAAGGAGGCAGTAGGCAGCAGGGCAAGCATGCGGTTGGTCTGTGCGCTACAGAAGAGGGAGAGACTCGTAGGGCGATTGGAATGAAGCCTCCGCCAGGCTTGACGCAGAACAGGATAGAGACAAAGCTGTTGCTGAAGAAAGTGTTTTACCTTCCCTGCCTGCGTAGCTTAGGCCGGTGAGGGTTTCAATTGAATCCGGACCAAACTAGGAAGCGTCATGGCTCGAAAGAGATTCTGCCACACTCGGAGTACTGCACCATCCACTTGTAGAGAATAGTTGCACAATATGATAAAGTCTACAAAAAGATGCATGAGGAACGAGTAGGCTGGACAATGGAACGCCTCAACCGCCGGATGCCTGACATAGGAACCCTACAGGCGATGTTGGTCCGGGCCGGTGCCGATTAATATGGGGCATGTCCCGGAGTGCCCCCAAGAATCCCGTCATTTGTACACTTGACGCCGGCGCATGCCGTCACGGTCAAAGCAGCGAGGTCCTTGATAGCTCTGCAAACGGAACAACATTGGTGCGAAACAACCTAAGCAGGATCAGCTGGCCATCCCAAGTGGGGCTACAGCCTTCAGACCCCTCTAGCAGCCACGCAGTACCTGTACGGTGGTGAGGTACCTGCAACGGGGGAACTGCATACACATTCCAGGCCGTGTCGGGGGACCAAGCAAGCCAAGGTTGAGGTGAGCGCCCACGAACTGTTGGTTCCTGCTGCAGGTACTTGCCGCATATTCTGCCCCCCTAAAAACCTGCGCACCTTCTACCTCCACCCCATGCCATCCGACTCATGGGATCAGCATTCCGTCAGCTTTTCCACCCCGTCACTTTTTCTACGACTTGCACCACCCGCGGAAACCTCTAAAGGCCCACGATGCGATGTGATGTCGTGATAGCGCATTAGCAACTTCCGCTACTTGGCACAACGGACGTAACCCGATCGACACTCAACCCTCCCACCCGGCACCACCAACAACTGTACGAACCAGGACCACCGGCCTTGCTTTCTCGTCAGCTCCCGTCGGCAACCATTCCGAGGTCCTCTCTTCCCACCGTCTCGCCAGCTCTCGACTGGTTCCATTTGCGCCGGGGGCCTTGCTCACCCTCACACGCTCTACGAGCCCGCCCCCTCCACCTCCCACTTCCACTTCGGGACTATCGACTATCTGGCCTACCTGCAGCTCGCCTCGTCGGCCTCGTCTTGAATGGGGTGCATCAGACCGTGGCGCCTTCCTGATTGCCTGCTGCCACCTTTTCAGCTGATCTGAAAGCCGTTGTGCCTGTGAGTAAGGTGGTCGTCCGCAAATACCATCCATACCGTTGCTCGTTCTTCCTCTCTATCGACAAACCGCAAGCTGTGGACCACCTAAAGAATCGCATCCTCATCATTCGCAACATCGATGACAACATCAGCCCACTTTCGCTATCCGACGCTCCAAGCCGATATGAAGTTTGCTGCATTACAACATAGCTAACATGCTCCGTCGCCTAGTCTCGTCCAAAAGCGATCACCCCGAGTCCGATCAAACCGACGAGCACATGTCACCTTCGCCAGGAGATGCGCCCTCTTCGCCAGACTCGAGTCGCCCGAGCGGCCTGGCGAGCGTTTTCAAGGGTCTGGCCGGCACCAAATTGACCAAATCCCCTCCGCCGAGCCTCAAGTCCGCTTCCTCAATCCTATCTCCCATTGCCGACCACGTCAACGCCACTCGAACAACCCTCGCCGGATGGTCGCCGAACCATATGGAGTCCTTGCAGGTGCTGAGAAACGGCAACGGCCCTGTCGGAGAACGTGTTGCTGCTGCCAACTCGCTCAGATTTGCCGTTGCGGAACACCCCATGAACCCAGTGCTAGACATATGGGATGTTGCAAAGACAATGATTACGTCCAATAAATCGGATGCGGAGCGAATTGCTGGCTGGGAACTGTTGTCAGAATGCGTCAAGCACAAGGCCTCTACCGATCTGGAGCGTCAAAGTTTCTTTGAAACTCTCAAGGCCCCTGCTCACGCCAACGACTTTCATCTGCAACTCGCTGCCGTTGAAGACCTCACTGCCCATGGCCGCGACTTATCTGGGTTCGACTACCAAGTAATCCCGCAACTTGAAGTATGGCTTCGCGAAGCCTACCAAGCAGTCAAAGCGGCAAGGAAGCAAGCTAGCCGTGATGCCAAGAAGAACGCTGGCAAGGCAAGGTTCTCTGCCGCTGGAGAAGAGAAAAACCTGCATCAGCTCTTCAAATTCATCGGCGACATCATAAAGTTCAGCTCCAACGTGGCCAACGAAAAGTCCATGACCGATCTCATGAAAGTCCTTGTTGCCGTTTGCCTCACCACGACCATCGAAGAGGATCTGAAAGCATCCATCAACGTCATTGACACCATTGTCACTTTCGGTGCCTTGCCCACTGCAAGCTTCAAGGAGTGCGTCCTGGTTCTGGGTTCCATTTTCTGCCTCGTGCCGAGCCTGTCTAAGGTCGCTTGGCACACAATATCCATTCTCCTGAAATCGCACAACGGCCCAGCAGCAGTAAGGGTGCTTGTAGACCTATTGCGGAATCTTCCAGCGGATGGAACCAGCAAAGGGAAAGACACTAGAGATATTCGTGGGGTGTTGGCTGTTCTGGAAAAGCTGTTGACGAAAAGCACGGAGAAGGGATATCCGCCCGTGCCTTTTGCACTTCTCCTCGATGGATTAGTCGCAGCTGTCCACAGCACCGACTCCGGCCGAGTTCACTGTGCTGTCCTCAAGCTGATCAATTCTCTTTTCCGGGATGGCGCCGGCAACATTCACCATTTGATCATTGAGGAGGACTGGTCGACACTTTTAAACATTGCTGCGGAATGCTCCAAAAAGGCACCATCGGGCATTCTCGTCAATAGCGAGATGGTTGCCCTCGCAAATGAGCCTGACCGTCCAGATGGCGCAATAGGAATCGAGTTGCTGAAGCTCATTGCGCGACTGGAGGAGTTGGCTGCGCAAAAGTCGGGTGATTTTGTTCCGCGACAGATCATCATAAGATTCTTCATCGATATCCACACTAGACTTCCAGACTCGGCAGCGCGCTGCGTTCTCACCTACTTCCAGGAGTTTAGGTGCTGCTCGCCTTCGGACCTACAATGGGAAGAGAATCTGGCTTTGGTCCTGAAAGAGTTCTACGCAAACCGGAGTCGCAGCTCCGAGACCCGCCTGCTATCTCTCCAGGCCGTAACGGAGTCCTACGACATGCTGGATCTTATTGGCGAGGGGCTCGGCGACGATGACTGCGTTCCGAATCTGATCAAGGACCTTCTCAACAATATTGCCGACGAAACGAACCTCCTGGTGCTCGAGTCTGTAGTGGCCTTCATGGTTTCTGTCGCCGTTTCCTCGGATTTGGAGCTCTTCAACTACATTACGGACACACTGAGAACAATTGTTGTCAATGATCGTCTCTTATCGCCCATCGCCTCGTCTGCGTCTCGCCCAACGACTCCTGTCAGTGGCGAAACAGTGACTCCTCCCAAGAGTTACACGTCTTCCGGGGTTGTGACAAGAGGATACGTCAAGTTATTCATGCGTTGTATGAATTTGGACGGGCCCAAGACCCTCAAACTCTTTGATACACTGGTCAATATCGCGAAAACGAGCCACTGCAAAACTGATGCTCGGCTAACCGCCATGAAGCTTCTCTTCCGACTTCGAGCGGATTGGGCAAATCGAGTTTTCCTGATAGGCGACACAGAATCCGACGGCCTCGCGGCAGCATTGCTCCACACAGCTTCATCTCGGGCGAAGAAGCATTCTGAAGATGCATCTCAACCTGCAAGACCCAGTAGGGCCGACATGGGCGCTGTCACCCGATCTACGAGAGGAATATCCTTCAGTAGCTCAGGAACTCAAGAGAGAGTATTTCCGATTCGGTCCGCCAGCGGGGCAAAATCATCCTATCCGTACAAACAGCTTTGGGCGCTGCCTGACCCTGAGGCATTGCCTGAGTCCCCATCGGCGATTGCAAGCCCTATTTTGGTATCATTCGTCGAGGACATAGAGCCAGAGGCCACCGAAGAAAGCGAGCCATCGACCGTGGAGACGAAGCAAATCGCATTGAATATGGACTCTTGGCTTGACACGATTGTACGCATCATTGAAAGTGGCAGTGAATGGGAGATCTACAGCATGATATTGGTTCATCTACCCTCGCAGTTGACCAACCACGCCATTTTCCGCAGTGCGGTGCCGCAGATTCAAGAGCTTCGGCGAGTAACATGCGAGCAAATCAGGACGAACAACTTTCAAGAGCCGCCAAACTCTACAAGCCTGCGACGCGCTGATGTCGCTATCTGTCTGTTTCATACCTTGACAATGATTCTCAGCTACCACGAGTACTTCCAAAAGGACCAAGAGGATGAGATTGTGCAGGCATTCGTCAAGGGTATATCGACCTGGGAGCGATGCGCAAAGTATTGCATCCACGCGCTGTCAATTTGTTGCCACGAGCTGCCTCTGTCCACCAGCAAGACGTTGGTGCAGATGTTGCAGAAGATGGCACAAATTATTACACAACCCCACGTCGCAATGCACATTTGGAGTTCCTCGCTTGTTTGAGCAGAATGCAAAACCTCTACGTCAATTTCAGAGAAGACGAGTACCGCATTGTGTTTGGAATTTGCGTTCGCTATCTCCAGTACGTGCGCGACAAGAAGCAAACGCAACGAGGCAGCCTACACAGCGAAACAGCAACACCAACGGGGTCTACCTCGGACCTTTTGCATCCGAATGCTGCAGATGATCTGCCTCAGTACGTGTATGCTTTGGCGTACCACGTCATCACGTTCTGGTTCTTGGCATTGAAGCTTCCAGATCGTGCCAACCATGTCGGCTGGATTGCCAAGAACCTGCTCAGCGACGTTGACGGTGGGCAGAATCCTGAAGAGCAAGCCCTCGTCACACTTGATTTCATGCAAAGGGTCGCCTACGCAGACGCCGACGAGTCCTCTGAGGACCTTCTCTTTACTAAGGAGCGGTTCGGGGAGATTTTGAAGCGAAGGTGGTTAATGGGCAACAGCATTGTGACGATTGAGCAATCGACGACGACTGGGTGGTCACAAATTACGAAGCGACAACCATCGGGCACGTCCTCCTACATTGTGCACGAGAACTTCCGACCACGCCCAGCCCACCAAGCCCAGTACATCTCCGATGTCTCGAGGGACGGCCAAGTGACCAACAACAATATCCTTCCCAGCCACTTGATGGTGCAGTTGATGACTTCAACGCCCCAAGCGCAGGATACTGCCCGGCCTATTCCTCTCCCTAACGACGAGCCGACCCAAAGAACGGTTCGTCTTTTTGACCGCAACTCAACCGTAGACGGACACAAGGTTGGAGTGGTGTACATTGGTGAAGGCCAAACAGAAGAGACGGAGATTTTGGCCAACGTCTCGGGTAGCAGCGACTATGTGGCTTTTCTCAACGGTTTAGGCGCTCTGACGAGGCTGAAAGGGTCCAAGTTCAATACCCAAGGGCTCGACAGAGAGTACGACACTGATGGCGAATACACTTTTTGCTGGCGTGACAAGGTAACCGAAATGGTGTTCCATGTCATTACGCAAATGCCCACCAACCTCGAGCGGGACCCTCAAGTCATTATGAAAAAGCGGCACATTGGCAACGACTTTGTCAACATCATTTTTAACGACTCTGGCATGCCCTTCAGATTTGACACGTTCCCGAGTGAGTTCAACTACGTCAACATCGTCATCACTCCAGAGGCAAGGGCATCATTCCTCACCATCAGAGAAAACCCACCAAGCGAAGGAAAACATCCGCCATTTTACAAAGTACAAGTGATGAGCAAACCCGGCTTTCCCGAAATCTCGCCGGCCTCTGAGACAAAGATGGTCAGCCTGAAGGCTCTGCCAGGATTCATCCGGCTTCTGGCCCTCAACGCCTCCGTCTTTTGTCTGGTATGGGCAAACCGCGAGGGTGGCGAGCATGTCAGTTCTTGGCGCAACAGGCTTAGAGAGATCAAGAAGTTACGAGACAAACACGGCCCCAAGAATAACACTGCCGGCGTCCACCAATCGTCGCATCCTCATTTGAGCCACTTGAATAGTACCTCGACACCTTCGCCGCCGCCTTCGTCATTGGGCGGCGCAGTCCTGGGTAACAATCACCTCATAGCACAAGGCGCAGATGCGTCCAAGTCTGCGGCCAATGTGCGCGACAGCTTCAGCAGTCTACGCCGGTCCTCGGTCGCAACCTTTTTCACGAGCACCAGCGAGCAGACCAGCCACCGGAGCTCTATGCTCTCTACCACTACCAACGATACGGAAGTTTCACCAGCAAACGGACTCGACGTCCTGGTTGAATCCGTCGACTTTTCCAAGTGGGCATAAAGCACGGACATTTTCAATTTTCTACCTTTACCTTAAAACAAAAAACCAGGCGTGAGCACAAAATTCGGAACGAAACCTAATGGCGGACGAGAACACAAACGAAATTCAAAATATACGGAGTCTTTGACGACTTGATTGACAAAAAGGAGCGAGGGGTAAAAAGGGGTGTCGGCGGATCCTTGGGCTCGAATACCACCAAAAGTTATTCTTTTTCTTCCTTCTCTTCAATGATTGTACGGGGATCCTCAGAATCTCCGTTTGTGTGTAGGCTACTTTGATACGAAAGAAAGACCCTTCCCACTTCTCATCGAGAATGTAATTCGACGTGTGTATTGTGTGGCTTCGTTGTGAACTCATACCGTCATTCACTTGGCCCTTGACTAATGGCCCCCATTAAGAACGAGGCGGCTGCGCTTAAATTACTGTGAAGAACCTACTAGGCTTTATCTTGATGCAAGTGAAAGGGGACCGGATATCTTTGGCGCCTGAAAACCAGCGGCGTTCGCGTCATCGTCGCTTTACCTGACCCAGTCGATGTTGCGGACCGGTGCTCTCTCCATAGAAAATTCAAGAAAAAATCCATGAAAGCTGCTGCTACGGTTTGAATGGTAACTGCGGCTCCAAAACTTGAGAAGGCCGCGGTACCACGCAGTTGTCACAACATCGACAGGAGTCTTTTGTGCGACCTGACGACGTAATCCATCAACTTCAAGGCAAGGACTAAGCACCATGAGGTACAAATCGAGCGCATTCGACGGCCGCGATTGACGTGTTTTAGCAATTTCAAGAGGATGAGGGAACACAATGAAGCATCATACTCGAGTCAGCTGTCAGCCCATCGAACGGTAGAGAAAGTCTGCCTTTGCATCCCCCACCCACGACTAGAATCCATCAGTCTTAAGGCGACATCGCGACCGAGCAAAGACATTGCGTCGTAGAACAATCCATCAACATGAGACGATCAATTTGAGAAAGTACTGGAAAGACAACCCATCTTGGTAGGGACTCGGCAATATCCGACCACGATCTACTATATTACGCTCCAGCCACATCGTCTTAGCGCTGGTCGAAGGCATACTTGACAAGGTCGTAATGGATTCGACCGTAGGGAACCAACTCTACTGAGACAACGAATGTAGCTTGCCTCTTCCGAGGCCGTTTCTTGCCCATTACCAAGTTCGTGGAGAGATAGACACCCACCCCCCCCCCCCCCTCGGACGATCCGAGGTAGCAATAGAAATATGCCTGCTGAGTATTTCGCATGCTCTGCTCCAGCATTTTCGTGGCTGTCAGCCACCACAATCGACCACACTTGATGCATCTTTACAGATTTACGAAAGAGATGCGAGGGCCGACAACTTCAATAACGGTCAGCCCAGGCCAATCTCAGCCCGCTGGAATCAGTCGATCATTCCTTTGGCACTCGGCCTTGCCTTGCGATGCCTTTTCAAAATGTCCTTTAGGCCAGAACATCGAGTTTGGCCGTGATCCAAGCAGACACGCCGCCACCAACTTAGAAGCAAGGCCATTGCCGCATCCAGATATTAAATGTGTGATTCTTGGCGTTTCAATAGTTTACTCATCTTGCCTTCTCGCCCTCCTGTATGCTCTCTTGATCAAAGTATCAGCTGTGATTGCACTTCATCAGAATATCGCATCGCGATCCGATTACCCATTCCGATGCTTCCATGTCTACTACCTTAATGCAAAATGGCCGCCGGGTCGATGAAGACTTCCCGGCTGGAAAAGATGTGCTACAATCTTGATGTTATATTCTTTCGGACGCTCTCTAGAGCCACTGACTCCATCTCAACGGCGAGATGGCTCGAAAAAACATCCATTAGCCCCGCGCAGTCGACTCTACAAGGAAGGAGAAACCATCGGCATCTTTGGCGTTGCGAGACTATATCACCGGGCCTTCTTGAACAGAATGTGTAGGTTTTGCGTATCAGTCGAAACTCATGGCATCTGTAGTAGCAACAGAATCTCGTGTCGCAATCCGCATGGCAGGTCTACTGATTTCGCCTTGCCTTTAGGATCATACCGTCCTGTGTATATAACCAAAGCTTTGTAGACACATGGTCAAAGTGCACAAACCTGCATGTAGACAGCCCGCTTCACTGAGCCATACACCGAAGAGGGCGTCAATCGTCAACTTCTGTGAACGCAAGGATGCTCAACCAAGCGACAAGAAACCGGCCAAGAAGGCTTGCTCTCCAAGCTTCAGTCCCAGAGCCAATCGCCAGTCCCTATTCTCCGTGCCCTAGGACTATATCGAAAAAGCAACGCCCTTGGAACCTTGAGGGGCGTTTATAGGATCAAGTATACAGAACAACTGAGACGAAAAGCCAAGAATGCCACAGACTCCAAACTTGAAAAGCTAAGCGCCACCAAAATTCCCACGATCAATGTACAGGCTACCTCGCAGACCTCGCAGACCTTCGCCTACCCCTCCTTTCAATCACACGAACGATAGCCGCCCAAGATACAGTAGACCACGTTCTAGGCCCGTGGTCCAAAAAAGTCAAAATTGTATAAATCGACGTTGCGATCCCGCGCGTACCCCTCCCCTCCTCCAACGCCCAACCCATTTTTCATCCGTCATCGCGCTCATTGGCTCACTAATCCCCCTTCGACCGCTCTAGATTTCTTAAGTGGTAGGACAAGGTTTTTCTTCTTTGACAGAGCGTGGCTTTTCGAGATAAGCCCTCCTCTTTTTCAAAGGCCGTCCGCTGCAGTACAGATAGATGGAATTGAGCAGGTTTTCAAAAGCGTATATAGCGCACTAGGCGCCTTTAAACGCCCTCGGGCATTTGCCACCATATTCAACTCAAGATAAAGAACACTTTCAACGTCCTACCGGCCCAATTCTATCCAGAGTCAGAATTCTGATTTGAAGCTGCCAAAAGGTCGGCAGTCGTGTCACGTAACAAAGCGCACCAACTGTTTTATACGTATCGTTACCAAATCGACACCGTTTTCCGTTGGTCCATGGGGCTTGGCGTTGGAACGTTGTGTCAGGGGTCAAAAAGAAATCCCAATGAGACTCTACCACCCCAGGAAGCGGATATCTAGTCATTTGCGACAAGCCAACATTTGTGTTCCACGCATAACTAGGAGTCGATTTTGGTCTATCTCAGCACTGGATTCCTTCCGTGAAATCCCTCCCCTTTGCCGAGGTTTCTTCACAACACATTGTTTTCCTCGGCGACTTAAGGATCCATAGGGAGCAATGTGGTTCAAGGGTTGTAAAGAAAGTTCCACACTGCTTGTTTATGGAACTCGTGTAGTTGGAACGCTGTGGCATAGCCGTATTATCTTAGTCACTCAACAGCGCGTCATGTTGCGAAGGACCACGACGCCTAGAAAAAGAACCTCACAATCTTACATCACTTTGAGCAGAAGATAGCAACACCTTGGCGGGATAGTGTACAGGGTATGCAGTTTGATCTTTTGTTCAACATTCTACTTTGGCAAAAGTGACTATCACTCGGATCACTGTCAAGGGCAAGGGGTTCTCTCTCTCTTTCCTTTCACATCAAACTCTATCAAGCGACGATGGTCCCCTTGCATTCTAACCTCTTGGTAAATCATATCGGCTTTGTCTACCTTACTCTCCCGCACTGAATCGTCCATCACGATGAGAGCATACGGGTAGTTAGACAAATGCATATGCACATTCTATGCCGTCGTCCCACTTTCAGCTCACAACGTCCTGCAAGGGCGTTCGGCTGCTCGGCACCCTCCAGTACCATTTTCGGATACAACATACCGACGGTGGGCCTCATTTTGTACTCCGTATACTCTGTTCACGAAACGATGATACATGTCGATCTCATGGCCCAGAAGATAGACAACGTTTGGGACAAGGGGGAGATACTCTCGCCCGAAAGGCGCGCCCCGGAGATCCAAATATCGAAGAAGAACAGGCTTTTGTCCAGCAACCAATTACGTCCCATAACGGAGCGACATAGCCAGGGCTCCCAGCTACTTGGGATCTGGCAAGTCCCCGGAGGCGGAGGGGGGGCTTGCTAAAAGAGACTGAAGACGGAAAGCAGTCCCGATTCTTCTTTATCTTTCTTGGGATTTGGGGGAAAGGGAGGGGAGGTAGGCAGGCAGTTGGTAGTTCGACAGCGGCACAAGATCCGAGCCCACCAGCCAACTTGCCATCGGAGTCTCCTTCCATAAGTCTTCTTCATGTACCTCTGGCCACCACGGCGCCTCTCGATCGACGGTATTGGGGAGTTGCCTACGATGCCTTACTTGATTACCCAAGTAAAGAGCTGATAACGCCGTGCCCCCTTTGCCGCATCAAGCGCCTGATCCTATGAAAGGCTTGGTCGCACAAGGCAGATGATCCAGTGGGTTGCCGAGAAATTTCTGTGGTGTGTTCGTGGCGGTCACGCAGAGGGCGGCGGCGGCGGCGGCGGCGGCGTTGCCCACCTTTTCCCCATCCCCTCCTTTTTCTCACCCATAAGCCATTGCAAGTTTCACCCCTGGCTTATTGCGCTCCTGCGCGTCAGCTTTTCGTCAATTTTGTGCTGGCTGGGATAGGATAGCCTTCTTGGTGCGTTCGGTAAACGCGAAGAAACAAGTCCGTCGCACACACACACATACACACACACGCACGCATTGGCCCACCGTCCGCTTGATAGAGCCGTAGCTGGGTAAGGTTCTTGATGATTACATCAAAAGACGTGCTTGGATCGGCGGTGAGTGTAAGAGGCACACATCGACGACGCCCGAGGTTTATGGGGTTTTCCCGACCTGAGCTGTGCCGCTTGGGGTCTGGAAAAAAAGATTCGTCTCCGAAATTTCCTGGCCTGCCTTTGCGACCGTGTCAGCAAGTGTGCATATTACGCTACACTACTCTGCGTCCAACAGAATCTGGGTTCGTCAGCCGTGTGGTTCACGGTAGGCGTTCCGGCAGGAGTGGGCCGATTTGCGGCCACCGTTATGTACGCCCAAGGTAAGTTCATCTTCATACCAGACGACTTGGA